GAAAGAGGGAGGGAAATGAGTTGGGTGAAGGGCTCTCAGGTTGTAGGTTCTGCACTAGGTGACGTAGTCCTGCAATAGGAGAAGCCTGTTTGCTTACTGCTGGGACAAAGAGGTCCACACACAACAAGGCATTGAACCCTGAGGTGGAGGAGGAGTTATTCCAGCTGAAAAGGAGAGGTGTGGAGCCACTGCCTCAGCTGGCACTCCAGAAGGATGTTCAGGTGCTGGGCATGGGACATGGACCCCAAAGACCCTCCATGAAGAATAAAGAACCCATAAAATAAAATAAAAGCAGGAATATAAGCAGTGTGGGTCAACCAAAGAGGAAGGGCCGAGGCCAGCAGATGCTGAGCAGCCTACCTGCCATGGTGTAGAGCCCCGTGACCGCCAGCATCAGGCCAGTGGAGAGGTAAAGGTCCCAGCCCAGGCAGACTTGCACAAAGAGGGCCCCCGAGTACAGGTCTGTCTGGAAGAAGAAACACGAGGGCTGGGACAGGTGCCAGCACCCAAGGGCTGTGCCACGAGCAGCACGGCAGGGGAACAGTCAGCACAGGGGGTATGGTGAGGACGTGGTGCTGTGTTGACAGGAGGATGCCTCCCAAAGCCAGCACTGAAGCCTGGGGTCCCCCCCAGGTGGCCACGTCACTGCTGGAGGGGTGTCACAGGCCACCTTCTCCCAGAGAGCAAAGCAAGCAGCTCCAGCAGTCTGGAGCTCCAGCAGCTGGGCTCAGCTGGATGCAGGTGGTGGGGTGTGAGGGTCAGAGATGGGATATTTTGGGGCACCGGTGCTGCCACAGCCCTTGAGAGCAAAGCAGGGAGCTGGAGATACTCAACCATTTGTGGGATCAAACTCCAACCTTGTCGCTGCCCTCAGGCTCTCCAGGTCCCCCCACTGATAGCAGAGCCCTACTCTCCAGCTGGCATCTCACCATGCTTTCTGCAGAGCTCTGGAGATGAGGCACCTGGTCCCAACCGAGGGGCTGTGCTCCCCCAGAACACCAGCACCCATGGGTGCTCCCCAGAGGCAGCCCAAGTCACCCCAGCCCAGCACACCCGTGCTGCTTCTGCACCCCAACAGCCCCCTGATGCACGGGAGGGGGGTGGCTGTAGCTGGTGTTTCACGTTCTGCTTGGCAGGATTCACCCTCCTGGCACCCGTGCTGCTGGTGAGGAGGCTGCCAAGGACCTGCTCCCCTCCTCCCCAGCTGCAGCCCCACGCTCTGGGACGTCAGACTGGTCAGGAGGGTGGCAGCAAGCCTGGAAAGGCTGCTGGGGGCAGGAGGGGATCTCCTGCCAGGTGCAGGGACTTTTCGAGGTGCTTGCTGGTACCTGCAGTGCCTTTGGTGAGGGATGGGGCAGGTCTGCACCACGTTACCTTGAGCGAGGCTGGGGTGGGTGCTGGTGGGGCAGAGCAAGGGGCTGCCCTGCTCCCTGGGGGCTGCACCAGCACAGCCACCCCACGGTGAGGAGCACACGTGGACAGCCCCAGCGTGGACCCCAGGATGGCCCTTCCTGACCCTGGTCCCAACAACAAGCCACCTCTTTGCTGAGCATTCCTGGGAAATGATCTCCTCCTGGGTTTGCAGAGATGGGGAAACCAAGGCATGGGCAAGAGGCAGAAGGTGCTTTCCGTGCCAAGGGGGAAGCAGCATCCCAAGGGTCCTGCACCCCAGCATGGAGCAGCACAAATGCATCCTCCAACACGTCCCCTGGCCTTTGCAAAGCCTCTGGGAGAGGCTTGAGGGTTCTGCTGTGTCACAGAAGGACAGACTGACTCCACATCCAACACGTGCCCCCACCAGCCCCAGCACCATGTCCCACGGGGACATCAGGAGGGTGCCTCTGCCCAGAGGAGCCTGCACAGGCCTGCAGCTCACCCAGCTGCCAAACGCTCTCCAGATGGCTGACATCCCAAAAGTGACCCTCGTTGCCCACCCGTGGGAGGGCTGGACCCACAAGGGGAGGTCTGGTCCTGTGGGAAGGAGACAAAGCAGAGCGGAGGGAGCTGGGGCACCTCCTCCAACACAAGCAGCAGTGCTGCTGGAGGACACTGCTGGAGCTGCCCCTGCCACCACCACGTCTCCACCCCCAGCTGAGATCCAGCCATCCACAGGGCTCGGCTGGCTACCTGCACAAAAACCTTGCTTGGAGGAGGAAAGGAGGCCAGCAGGGGCAGGAAGAGGCAAGCCAAGCTGACTCCACACCCTGGCCGGGAGCCGTGACGGCTTCCCAGAGCCAAGACATCAGCTCTGCTTTGACATCTTCCCTCACACACCTCCCAGCAACCATCCCCCAAACAGCAGGGCTCTCTTGCCTGGTCATGTGGGAGCAGATGCTGGGGATTAAACCCCGTGGAGGACTGGTGCCCTTTCCCACATCACACCTCCTTTCCCCCAGCCCTGCCCTGCCCTACCTCCTCCCACCCCCGCCCCAGCCAGCTCCCCACACAGGACCCCAGGAGCATCCCCAGGGGATGGAGAGGGGCCACCAGGGTCCCTCAGTGGAAGACCCAAGGGGTGTGCTGCTCAGCAGGGCTCCATCAACCACAGAACCCAGGAGGTGAGCACACACCCAGCTTCAGCAGCACACAAAAGCCCATTCCCTAGCAGATGACCCCACACCATTAGGTGTAACGTTGATGAAATCTCAAACTGAGCTGACTAGAAGAGCACTTACACCATCAGCTTGAAGATCTTAATTGAGGGACTGTTCCACAACATCTGGACCAGCCTTTACACCACAGTCATGCCTGGTATTCCCAAGGGAGGTACTCCATGTCCTCAGCTGCACTTAGGCTTGGCCATATCTCTGGGAGAGCCCTTGCCAGCACCAAGAGGCAATTCAGCCC